TCTTTTGAGGATGCTTGTCCGGCAACCTATGATAGGCGTTGAGGCCGAACTCCATCTTCTTGCTCCCTTTGATCTTCCTGTAGAGAATATCTCTGAGAGCCAACTTGCTGGGTCTGTCTTCGCTCCTCATCTTTAGCAACAAATCATACCACTTGTTCCTGAATATAACCAAATTCTTGTCTCCAGGAAAGTCAAGGTTGAATAGGTGCTCGATGTGGTAGACAAGATCCGTTCGATCAGACGTCCTGAATGATTGCATAACCAATGCCACCAACTCTCGTCCCTTCACGATCACCCCTTGTTGATGTCGTAGTTCCGAATGTCGCGTAGCGTCGAGGTACACGTCTTTGGCTTCGTCAGGTGCTTGTTTTAACATGTTCTGCATGCCCATGGCCATTTTGATATCTATCGTAGCGAATCTGTCGCCGCCGGAGTCGCTCAGCAGATTTAGGTCTGGGTTTAACCCAAGAGCCTGTTCCAACCATTTCGTCCATGTGTCAGTATCTGGATCTGCGCATGCGCTCAGAACATTCATCAGCAACTGCATCTTCCAGTTATCGAGTTGATGGATCTTTGGCCAAGCAGGAATAGACACCCTCTCGGCTTCTTTCCTCGAAATCCTCGGTCTTTCGCTCTTGATTTCTCGATCATCCCTCGATCTTCTGCGCCTCCTCCGTGTCCGATTGTCATCTTCTTCCTCTTCTTCTTCCTCGTCCTCTTCGTCCTCTTCGTCGTCGTCATCCTCGTCCTCATCATCGGGTGGATCATCCGGAGGTCCTCCTCCGCCACCTGTGAGGCTCAACTGACGTCGACCTGCCCCTTGTCTATTTCCATTGGGCGAGAATCCACCGTAATCCAATGGGGGTGTAGTACCGTTGTTTCCCCCTCCATCACCATTACCACCAGTTGTAGTAGCGGATTGTGGGACATGCCCAACAACCCCCTGCATCTGGGATAGGTGTACATCGATCATTGGATCACCAAAAGACGGAAAGAGAATCGAACCTGGCATTAGTGACGAATTAGGGATCAGATTCGATGATGATGACGGGAATAACCCAGTCACCCTCTTGTCTACCCTAGTCGAATTAGCTTGGGGTCCTCCCTCAGCGCGTTTCACTACTGCTCGTTCACGATGTCCATCTTTACTGCTAGAGGCTTCCTGTGTCTCCAGCTTCTTGAGTGCTCGTAGTTCCTCATTGTCAGCATCGAGTTGACGAACAAAACTCTCTTCTTGCTTGAGCGTCGCCTCCCGATCCTTCAGTTGTCCCTGAAGTTCACGCATCTCCTCGAGGTACTCATCATATACTCCTTTAGCTGTCAATCTCCAGTACTCGGCCTCCTTCGACTTCTCGTCCATCGTGCACCGCTCTTCTTGTTTTGCTTCTCTGACCTGGGCTAACTCCAAGATCGCATCTTGACGATGACCACCCTCGATAGCAATCATCTGGTCCTTCTTCAACACGTCGGATTCGTACTGCTTGACGATCTCTTCTTTCTCGCGAAGTAAGCACTCTGCTCTCTTCGATTCTTGCTCCGCGAATGTTGTAACGTCGTTCAGTCTCGCCATCAGCTGCTCCCTGGAGTCCTCCATAGAGTACGTCTCGGGGCGTTTGACGAGTGCATGTTCCAACTGTGATTTTAGACTTTGGAACATCTCCTCCTCGTTGAACTTCTCGATAGATGTAGACGATTCAATACCTCTGATCTGTTGCTGATAAACTGATATTTGTTGTGAAGCCTCACGGTGTATCTGATTTGCACGTATAGCTGATTCCTGCGCGGCCGACTTCTCGCTTGCCATGTAGGATTTCATCACTGCAATCTCCCGCTTCTGCTCCATAATAGTTCCTTCAGCTTGTCTCATCTGTTGTATTATAACATTCGACTCCATGTCTTTCTTTTCCCCGTACTGATATGCGTTCATTTCCACCTTGCGCATCTGTTGGGCTTCCTCCTCAAACTTGCGCCATGCCTCAGCCATGTGGTGTTGGTGGTGACTCACAAGATGTCCCGACTGCTTGCTGGCAATCTCGCATCGTCTCTCCAGCTCCTGGATCCGGATGGTGCTCCCATAGTCTTCTTGATGAAGATTCGCCATTGCTGCCGACATTTCATCAAGTGTCTTTTGGTATTCCCCGATCTCCATCTCCATCTTGTTCTTTTCTTTAATCGCGGCGCGAAACTCTGCACTGGTGGGTGATTTAGACCTCCCACCTTTTGATGTTGACCTCACGCCCTTCTGCGACGTCCGTGGTGTCGCAGGCGAAGATGATGATCTTCTCGGCGGGGATTCTCTTTGCTTCGACTCCTGACGAACATCGATCTGCTTCCATGATCTTGTAGGAGTGGATATGTCGCTGAATAGCGCGGATCCTCCGCTCCCAGGTTCATCCTGTGAATCTGCGATCAAATCCATCACCGCAGGAAGAGCCATCAATCCATTGGATCCCTCTGAGCTGCTGTTCCCAAAAGTTGCAGTACTGGCCGCAATAAACCAGCTGTCTCTCTGTCCAGTGTAGAGCTTGTCGTTACGGCTGATAACCTGTCAAGAGACGGCAAGGTGACGTCCCGTGGGACGCTGTCCACCGAACCCTCCAGCTGTAATACCAACCACGTAGAAAGGTGTATACGGTCAAACCGTTATAGCCGAACCCGTGCAAATGTTGTAAGGGAGAAGGAATAATAGTTACAACAGTGGTCCTGACAAATGCAGCGCAAGCGAAATGTTTTCCGCTCTCAATTGCCGATCACGTATGAACGCAGCTTCACATAAGATCTTGAACCTCACTTGAGACTTGAGCCAAATGGCAATCAATGGAACCTTGTAAGCAACACAAACACGGACCTCAGAACTGCTTCCCAATTTAGGCACGGGGCCAGGAGGGTTTTAACATCCTTGAACCTGGCCAGGGGTGCCAACCAGGACGAGCACGTCGACCAATCCACCAGGATCCTCTCGAATAGCCTCAGGGCCTCTCGCTCGCACGCAGCAGTCCTCCGACTCCAACGTGGCTTCCAGCATCTGCTTTTGTGACTCAGTCAAGTTTCCGTCCAAATTGATGCCTTCCTGCTTCATCTCGGCCACCAGGTTCCGGAATTGAGGGCAAAGTTCGTCACCGACTCCGACGTCGGCCTTTGCAGGACCATGTAGCACCTCTCCCGAAGTTCTGCCTTCTTGTCCGTGATCGTCCGGCCGATCATGTCACCCCAGGCATTCAGGATCTTCTGCACTCCAGCCGCATAGTCCGCAGGGGTCACAACAGTGCCCGCACCAGTCTCCGCATCTGTCGTCTTCACCTCAGGCTCATACTTGAGGCTGTCCGGCTCAAACTCCAAGGCTCTAATCTTCGCCGCGCTCGCTGTTTCATCGCGAACCAAGCTGCCAAATTGAAGCTGGTCGCGCAGGTCAGGTCCATGCTCTCCAACCACCATCTCACAGTTTTGCGAAACTCCCGCAAACTGTCTGGTCTGCCATCCCACACCGGGATGGAGGCGTCGAACCCATGAGGCTCAAAGGTTCCGCCTTCTCTCCCTTCGGCCTTTTCCGCCATAATGAACTTCACGAAGAGGAAGAGTTCGTCGAAGTCCTGTCCTTGTTGTCCAAGAGGACCTGCAAGTAGTCGAATCGAACTCCACGAAGTCGAGCACCACCAGCAGCCCAGAGCCGCCGCAGTGCAGAGTGCTGCCCAGCGCCAAGCAGCGAGGCAAGCCGCGCGAGTATGGCTCAGGCGGAGGCGTGTGAAGCTTAGAACACAAAAGGGTCTCCCGAACCAGGGGCTCCGCTACCACTGCGGATTTCTGGGGGTCAAGAGCGTGCAGCAGCTCTGTTTTCCTGCCAGCAATCCAGTTGATGCCGCTAAACTTAAATGTCTCAAGGCCTCGAGCCACGGACATGCGAATCACTCATGTCAGATCATGCCGCACCCTTCGAAGGCAACTGTACAGATTCCACAGAAGCTGATCCAATCCGATACACTTTCTGCACACAACTTGTCATTCACCAGACGCTAGATCGACCACGTTTAGGTCTGGTTCTTTTTCATTTGTGAGAGCGAAGTAGATCGAATGTCTCACATATCGTGTCTCTTTCTGCCGCAATCCATTTAAATAGAAATTGTTCTCTTACAGATCATGGCTACCGTACATAATGATTCGACGTGGCAGATCGAAAGAAATTAGTGTCTGGCTTGTTGCTTTGCAATGACGTCGATCTTCCCACAATCTGTATCTTGGCTTAAGGCCTCATACTCGCACGGCACATCCTAGAGTAGCAAAAGAGAGCTTTGCTGCGCCCTCGTGCAGAGACAACACAACTCCGATTCCCATTTATTCTTCTTTTTTGTAAAGTAGGGCCACTACGTGTTGCGCAGGTCATACGTCGGAGTCCCTACCCCCTGGTAACGGCCCACAGGGGGGCGGAGGCTCGAGGTCAAGCTTGATTTCGGGCGCGCGTTCTATTTTGTGGAGGGGGGTTCAAGTTCGAGTTCAAGTTGGTCACGTAATGCAACCAGAAGTGAAAACTAGTCTCCAAACCTTTTACTTGTCTACCGCTATTGGAGAAAGTAAGCAAGTAAAACCGCTATAACCGGCAGGCACTCTTGGCTACATTTACTCCTCACTTCTCATGCCTTTACCGGGGAAGTTAAGTAATACTGCCAGAAGTGAAAGGCAACTCTTGGCTTTTTCACGTCATTACTTTTCATTGGTTTACTTTTCAACGTGTTTGCTTCTAATGGGGAAGAGGACAAGAAAAACTGCTCTCAACATGAGACAATATGCTTCACTTTCTTCAGATGTTATTTTGCATGCTTCGCTTCTCTGGCTCTACGAGGCGGAACACCCAGCTTGTCTTGTGTTTTGCTAGGGGCTTGTTTATATGTGCGTGCATGCATTATATATATATATTATACATACGTGCAAAAGCGTTTTACCCGGGCGCGCAACTGGCCAGGGCGCAGCTTGAGTCAGTCAGCTCAAATGGATCCGGCACTTGTTGC